TATTTAATTGCATCACAAATTATTTCAGATTATTGTATATCTTTTCCCTGGAATGACCACTTGGCACAACTCGGGGATTTTGCTAGATGTGGCCCAGAGTTCCTTTACTCACCTCCAAGCAACATATTCCTAAAAATACAGCAGATTGCAAATATGCTAAACCCCAAATTTTGCTGGAATTGCATGTGCCAGCACTAAGTCCTGCATCAATAAGAAACCCCACTGATGTCAGCAGGACTTGTGACAACACAAGATTTCCCTCCCTCAGTACAGCTCTAAAACTGGATCCTCGGTGACTATATTTGAATTATGTGGATTATATATGATTAAACAGATTTGGATTAAATCCCAGCACTGGGCTGTCTCGTGGAGAACACACTGTCAGGACCACACTGATGCACAGTGATCAAGGTGACCTTCCAGACTTCTGCAACCCAGAGCAAACTCTGAGCAACTCCAGTGAAGGGGGATTCTTTTTAGCTCCGCAAGGATCAGGAGAGATGGCAGGAGTTAAAATGCTGCTTTCCTGAGGAACAGTTTTTGTGTCTTAAAACCATGACTCAGGTGACAAAGAGCAATCTTTCGTGCATGAGAAAGCCAATCTCAGCTCAACACCTTGAGCTGAGATCAGGATGGAAAATATGGCTGGTTGAGCCTTGTCTTAAAGTGCAAGAAAATTCAAGTGAAGGAGAACAACACCTAAATAAAGAAATCCATCGAGTCGCCACCAAATCCCAGTTCACCCTCCATTGCATCACTGCAATAGCTGACCTGATTTTTTAAAAATATCACCATGAAACCTTACTTTTTATTACTATTATTAGTCTTCATTTCACTCAAAAATACAGTTTATAATCACTTACATAAACGTGCCTTTGACTTAACCATAAATGACAGAAACTAATTTCTTCCTCACTGGACGGTACAGCTGAGAATGGAATTTGGTGAAACAACTCTACAATAACTTCCAGCTCAGCAGAGCTGAAGTTTAACTCCAAATGCTTCACACAACTCCAGGATTCTGGAATTCTTTGATTCTTCAACAGCTCGGGAGGATCTGCCTCGTGGATGGTGATATAAGTCCTCATGTTTAATAAGGGTCACATTTAGCAAAAATGGCCACAGAGGTCGTGCTGAGAGAGGAAGGAAAAAGACCTAAAGGATATAAAAGGGGAAAAAAAAGCAACCCAGGTTGCCAAAGTCTGAGGGTTTGGCAGAGGAACAGAGATAACCTAATCAGCAGCACAGCTTTCCTGCAGCGAGGCTCTCCGAGTGCCACGCAGAGCCCCCTGTCCCTCTCCTTTGGATTAAGCAGCCCAGAAGTTCCTGGATCCATAGATAACATTGAAGAGGAAAAAAAAAAAAAAAAAGAGAAAAAGGGAAAGTAATGGGAATACTTTTCTGGAGTTTACTTCAAGTTCTGCTCAAAAAGGTTTTTAGCCCGAGATACCAAATAAAAATTTCCAAAGGCTTGCTGGGGGTGGGAAGCTGTTACATAATCCATTAACACAGCTAATGGCTTGTGCTGCATTCTCTCTCACATGGACAATGCAGCAAACTTTGTGCTCTGGACCTCTGGGTTCACACCTGCCTTGAAGGACTTGGCCTGTGCAGCCAAGCTGTGGTGAAACCACAGGTCTGGAAACTTCCTCCCCTTTAACATCCCTCCTCTAAAGGAGCCCCCACCCCGTCCTCTCCTCCACCAAGGACATTTTTAGAAGATTGCTGTGCAGCTAATTACATTACCATGGCATCCAAGTACCACACAGTCACGAGACCTACTTCTTTTAACAGCCCTTGGGTTTGTGGAGAGGAGCTAATAGGGAAACATCCTTATATTTGGAGAGCTGAGGCACAAGGTCAATGCATTTGCCCAACATCCCTGCAGAGGAGGCTCTGGGCAGGAAATTATTCACTGTGGAGTAGCTGCCAAAGTGGACTGGGTGCCAAAGCAGCTGCATGGCCACCAATTTAACCAACCACCATGCCCTAAGAGCTGCTCTCAGGAGACAGTGCTGGGATTCCAAGAGGAAACCTTGAGCAAACAGAGCCAAATACCTGCTCACCACCTGCACTCTGCAGCCACCACCAGCCCTCGCAGCAGCACCAGATCCAGCTGGTGGCCCCAGAGTCCTTCCTGTGGACCCTGCTGGTTCTTCTGCAAAGGCAATGAGGTGCTGGGGCAGCCTGTCCCCAGGCAGAGCTCGCCCTGCAGACGGGAGAGGTGCAGGTGCCCACACTGAGCACCACAGACCACAGCTCTGTTGGCTCTGCACAATCTCCGTGGCAAATGCCAGGGAACCTGGATTTTTATCAGGGCCACCTTCCCCAGCCCCCCTGTCCAGTCCTGGGGCTATGTTGCCCTGTGTGTTATTCCGGTGGTGTTCCCTGACTCGGAGTTTCCTACAGACGATGGTCTGAAATGAGACACTCCCGTGTGTCCTGACTCCTGTGACCTTGTCTGGAACTTGACTTATCTGAGACAGCTCCTCTGATCCCTTTCAGCTCCTCAAGAGCAGAGCACTGACTTGAGGAGCTGTTTTCCCCACGCTATTCCTCCACAAAGAACCAAATTGCTCTTTATTTCTAATTTCTCTCACCAGTTTCCCTCATCCGGTTCCATTTGCTTCCTCTAACGGACTCTTTAGTTACACCTGTGATACTGGAAGAGTTTGGTCATAACTAACTGCAGCCTGTTGTTTATTTGCCTACTACTGCTATTAGATCAGTTTAAACCTGTGTGTTACTTTTGGTGTCATCGCCTCTCACTGTTCTGCTGTTAAAATGTTTCTTCCTATATACTTGCACTGCATTTTTACCAGATATTTTTTAAATATATACAAAAAGCAACAACAACAACAAAACTTGGAGTGGGGGGACTAAGCCCCACTCCTGTCCAGTCCCACCTCCAATCACTCCACCAGTACAAGCTTTCTGATGGAAACAGGCTCAACCACAGCAGTTTGACAGGCTCCTAATTTATTCAATTAACAATAAACTCACAGTGCTGAGTCCTGAACCTGTCAGCCAGCTGAACTGAGACAACCAGCTGAATACTAAGATATATTCTGCCACTGAACTACCTCAGACCTGAGGGCTTCTAAAATGGAGAGTGGACCACAAATAGCAGGAGGGAAGGACTTTGGCCAAAGGTGTAACCCACTGGAGAGCTTACAAAGGTCACCAAACTTGTTCAAACCTTTGCCAAAAAACCATGGACATCATGTTGTCAGGCTGCTCTACATTACTCAACATGCAATTCTTGCTGTGGCAGACAGATTAATTAATAGAGATAACAGAAACAGTGGTATATAATCATAAAAGAGAGCTGAAACCACAAAGGACTAAAGCTTCCCTGTGGCACAGCAGTGATTTTTTTTAAGTGTCCAGTCCCTTTTCAACAGTATTTTTAGAGGAATAGCAGTCAGCCAGATACAGCCACGGATAATCAGTGGTGGATAAAGAAAACCCTTCTCCTGACAATCAGCATCTACACTTTAAGCTGCAGAAGAAACAGCTGCCTCGCTGTTCATTAGAGAAGGGATTTGCCAAACACCCTCCCTGATGCTCTGTTATGCAAGGTAGTGCTATGTGTGTTCTCTCCTTCCACAGAGATGTAGCCTAAAAGCATCAGTATTTAGTCCTCCCATCCCCCTAAATCTTCCCCACAAAGGACACTGTCACCACCAAAGCTCTGCAACAAGGATCGTTTATATATCTGACAACCTTTAAACCCCCAAAGAAAGGGAAAGGGAAGCAGCAAAGCTCTCTGAAGAGCTCTTTGGTGGAACAAGCAGAATTATGAGCAGCAGGAGAAATATGAGTAATTAAGACAACAGTATATCTATATCTTACAGCTGACAGAGTGAAGCTGCAAGTTAGCTCTGGGCAAGATGTTAGCAGAGGAAAGAACTGAGCAGCCTGTTTCTAACGTTAGTGTTGAAAAGCCAGCCCAGGAAAAGGGCTAAAGGGACAATTTCATTAAAAAGAAGGAAGTAGGTTGGATTAAGAGAGCAGTTAGATGCAGACTTGTAACATAAAAGGAACAGGTCAACAGCCCCCTGTAACAAGACAAGCAATCATTTGGG